CTCCTGGCATCTCAGCCTGCAGAGTCCAGGAGAACATCACTCAAACCTCCTCAGGCACAAGGAGGTCCTCATGACCTTACAGTTCCGACCCATCCATACTCTCCCAACATCTGGAAGCTGAACACCAGGTGGATCTAGTTCTGAAGTTTTGGCAGCATGGTGGACTGAAGGCAAATACCCTTTTACTACTGCTATTTTGTATTAACTCCAAGTTTTATTTGTTTTGTGTTCCATGGAGGTAGTGTTGGATGCAGCAGGCCTCAGCATTTAGAACATCTGCAACCTCACATTCATCAGGGAAAAAAAAAGAAAAGCACCATCTCATCTTCCAAACATATATGTGCCATCAGTCTGCAACTGCTGAAATCAAAGCTAGCTTTCTGGGTGGCACCACACTTTCTGAAAACAGCTTTGAAAGCCACTGCAGGAAGAGGATACTACCACTCATTAAAGTTACGTTGGCAATCTGTGTCTCAAAGTCCCAGCTTAGTCATGCACTTAAGTGCCCAATTTCCTCCATATACCAATTATGCACACATTACGAGTACTTTCCAATTGATATCAACAAAGCTGTCTCATGCTTTGCAGATAACAAACATTAACATGCACATGTTCTGCTCCCTGCTCGTTCCTCATAAACATATACCATATACCACATACCACATTGCCTCTCCATGGCTTCTAAACCTGCCTCACTTGTATATCTTTTTTCTGTAGCTCCTGATCGACCTGTTAGCCTCTCTGACCACCTTCCCTGGAGTATGAAGAATTAAGCAATAACAAGACGACTTTACGCTTTCAAGTAGCAAAGTACAAAACTGGCTCAGAGCTGCATGTGGTGATAAGTTTAAGTAATTCCACGGCTTAAGGGTCTTTTGAGGAAACAACTGTCCAATAGGCCAGTTCCTAGAGAGGACCTATTCTGTACAGGACTAAGCAACCTTTTACGCTGCAACCTGGTTGATATTTACATGAATATCAACAGGAAAGCCACTGATGTAAGTAACTTAGGCCTTGTGTGCCAGGCAAATTACCATGGATCAAGAAAGGGCAGTTTGTCTGCAGAAGCCACTTAGAGCATCTCCTTAGGTGCACAGGAACTTCAGCTGTAGAGGTAAGCATCTAAAATTTTTAATTTCAAGCATTGACTGCTACTTTGGGTCTAAACCCTGTTGATCCAGCCCCCGTATTAAGACAGAAAGGTACATAGTAAGAGTGGTACTACAATTGCAAGGAGTTAAAAATGCAAGTCTCCACTTTTTAAAAAATAAATAAATAAGAAAGATTTATTCCAAGCAGCCTTGTTTTTAGAAAAACATTCTATTTATGGTTGGTCTTTGTTTTCTGCCCTGAAGCCAATCTGCAATCTAATGAACCAGAGATTTTTTTAATTTCGGGAATCTATACCTTTGACATTAACCCTTAGTGTGTCATTCACCTGTCTTACAGATTATTTTAGAATTGAAAGTCTAGCTTCAGGAGCCATAAACTAGAAGCATAACCTAGTAAACCATTGTACTGCAAGTACTCTTTTTAATCGGTCCCCTTGAAGAGTTTGTTTACATGAGAAAAGAAGATACAAGCGCTAGAAAAGAAGATCTAGCTTCTACCTCCTATTCCCTGACTGCCTAACTTTTATCTGAACAATTTCATAGCACAGTGCTTTAAACAACTGCCTGAGGTTCTTGACTAACCAAGTTGCAGAACCACAGAGTATCTGGAAGCTTTACAGGAACCCACTCACCAGAGGAGATCTTTTTGACACCACTGTAACACAGCACTATTTTCTTCCTGTAGTTCATTTCATCTATCTTCACAGTGATTATGAAAGGGAGACAAGATCATTCTTATCTTCAACTGTTGGGTTTTTATGGCAATGTCACAGTGCTGATAGCAAATTAGATCCAAACACAATCAAGAGCAACTATGTGATCATCTTTCACTGACAGATTTTTTTTTTTTTTTTCAGTTACTGTATTTAGTAACATATAATGAATTTCATAAACACACCCCCATGGAATTTAGCATTGTCAAATTGTGCTTATTCTTGCTGGCACAGTAAGATAAAAGGTATTTATTAATCTCAAACATTTTTTGTCTACACAGAGTGGAAGCTGCACAGAAGTACCCAGTAGTTCAATATGGCAAGACCGTACTAAGGAATAGCACTACATGCGCAGGTTGCAAGTTGCCATATTTCAGGCTAACTTGGAACATAGCATGACATCATGTAATTGTTATAAAGCTGCTCTACAGGAGGTAAAAAGACATACTACATTGTGAAAAAGCCAAATACCTTTTCTATGTACTGACTGCAGGTTTATGCAGCATTATGGGATAGTCAATAAAGCTTAGCAGGGACATGAAGGGATAAGACAGACAGTATTTAAAATAAAGTTACTCTCCCCCCCGAGTTTTTGTTTTTTTTTTTTTAATAGGAAGAAAACAGATAGAGTGCTGGCACTCTGCCAGACTACATATAAAAGACTTGATCCTGCTCTGCTTGCAAGTTATTTTACTTCCGGCTACTAAAAGAAACCATAAAATGCCATCAAGTCAGAGCAGTAATGTCTCATTGCCACATTGTGTTGATACAAGGTCTTCACAGCCGACAATGTAGATTAAAAAATTTGATCCTTTGGTCTTATTTGCTGTATTTTATTCCAGTCAAGCTCAAAAGCCACCAAACAAAGCAAAAAAAAAAAACCCCACAATGGAGTAATAGCTTGCATAGAGCAGACATAAAAGTAAAATTGTGCTCTCTAGTGGAGAAATTTGATTTTGTGCAATAAAAGTTCAAGCCATGCTGATCCATCCACTTGACCAACAGGTTTTCAGTGTAGAGAAAACACGAAGATTTTCCACAATATGAGAAGAGTGCAAGTGCCTAGTTCAACAGATTTATTATAACCAAGATAGATTTATACTGAGTTACATGACAGATTACAGCTAGATAAGGTTTCTAAATATACAACAAAAAAATACCTAAGTCCTAAGACATGCTTTTATGTTTGTTTAGATTTTAAAAGTAATGGCACCTTCAATGCAATAGCAAAACATTTCCTTTTAATGATGTGACACTTTAATATGGTCCTATATAATACTATATAGTCTGATGAAAATAGGTTAGTTTTACACCAGATAGTGCTACTTGGTTAACATAATGAAAACTAGGATTTTTCTATAAATAAGGGTTTAATAATAAGATTCTCTGTTGATTTATTTTTAGAGAGAAGAACTGACATGATCACCCACTCCTTTATTTCCAGTTATGCATACACCACTAATCTTAAATATACTGAATGGGTCTTCAAGAACTCCTGTTCAATTTGTGTTCTTACAGTGTTAACAAAATACAACCCATTTTCTTCATGGCAGCTGCCCTACCACTATTTTTTCTGGGCAGATATGGACCAATGAATGCATGAATTCAATTTAATAGCAGATGAATTAGAATCTATTCTTTAAAACTTGGCCACTTTATGCTTCCTCAATAGCACACAGGATTTAGCTTCTTTGAACTCTGTATCTTAACTAGCTGTTGGAATAAATCTGAATTTAGAAGACAGAAATATGAAAGACTTCAAAAAGCTAAATGTACAGCTAACTCATGCTAATATTAAAATAGATTAAAATTGGGCATGTATTCTAATTCAAGAGTAAGGATCTAGCAAGACATGGATATTAGATTTCTCTTATGTGGTTGCAGAATGTTACAATCAGCTGTTGACTGTTACAGAAAGTAACGTTCTCTCTTCCTCTTTGGCCCTTAAAGATGAAATAATAGCGGGGGGAGGGTTTTTTTGACTGCATACAGAAACACAGAGCTACCTTTCATGTTTTAAGCTCCCTAGTATACTCAGAAAAGGTAGCCTAACACTTCAGCAAAGCCAGCAGTCGAGATTTAAGAAGTATCACAAGCCACAAACAGAATCATACAAGTTAAAAAGATTTGCCAGCTAGATGTTTTTTTAAATGGAAAAAAGTTCATAACTGATCTTATGCCTAGAGCAAGAAGGAGAGAGTTCCACTGACTTCCAGCATAATTGATGCTGATATGGCAGCAATTTTAACACTTGTATTTAGTTAATCCTATGACAGCAAGCAGATTTCCTAAGTTTCTGCACCGTTAGTCATTCAGAATTTTGAGCTGGGGAACAGTTGTCAGTGAGTGGGTAAAAGAAAAACCTAGCTCTACTTCAGCAGTTTTGTCATATCACTTAATAGAAAGATGAATAAGAACTAAGTGATAAACTGTAGTTTGGGTATGGCTAAATATCCGTATTTATGAAGTGCTGGAACTCTGCAAGACATTGTTTCCATTTAATATTCTCCTGCAAGTTTTCACAATATTCTTTAAGTTTCTGTCCTTCACATGGCTGTATCACTTAAACCATACTTTTTATTTCAACCATATGCAAGAAAAAATTTAGTTCATCTACAAAAAAAAGAAAAGTCTCGAAATTAAGGAGCCAGAAAGACAAGTGAAATATCCCTTGAAGTCCTGTGTAGTTACTGTTATAGATAGGTAACAGAGAGAGCGATCTTAAATATGTTTAGTTTAAAATTCAATAGTAGTCATGCAAAATTAACACACAGTTGTGAGCATATTGTAGCATCACTTGAACTTAACTGGTACATATTATTAGCTCTGTTGTAGTAATACCTGTCAGTCACACTATTGCATGTATGGAAGGGAGGCAGCCCAGTAATTGAGAGAAATATCTGTTTTTCCAAGCCTCATTCAAGAGCGGGTATGTTTGCAAAACCTCCAGTTTTAGCTATAAAAGCATTATCACAGCAAGGCAGAAGTTTCACTGGGTTTTGCAGACTCAGCTAGCTATATTACGTTAGAGTTCGTTCACCATAAAAAGACATTAAAAAAACCCCAAAGTACAGCTCAGTAGATTTATGCATTAGGTTGTAAGCCATCTAAAAAACAGGTCCAAAGTTATATTACAGGCTACAGGATCCTACTTAGCAATTCAGTTTAGCCCATGTAAGAAGTGCAAACATGTGGTATCTTCCAATTAAATCAAGCTCTGCATTTCTTGACGGGAAAAAAAGACGGAGACGAAAACCCCAGACAGTTCATACTGACTTCTAATCCCATCCTACAAGACAACTTTGTGAAGTTTTTGAGACACAGCTAGGAAATCATCCACAGTGAGAAATTACAGTTGCTACTACAACACTACCACGACAGACCATTTTAAGGATAATTTACAATAACTCCTTCAGAAGCTATTGCGCAAAGAACACCAAAGCTTGCACTGACCTATATATAATTCAAGTACTCTCCTACTCAATGATAAAGAGGTTTTTGAGAATATGAAAACACAGTCCAGGGGGTCCTCATAGACAGAGCAGATTTCAGCCTCCTCTCAGTTTCCTATATCTCAACAGTTGCAGAAGTGCCATTTGTGTAGCCACCTTTAGACTTCATGTGGTCCTGAATTGATACAGCCTAGGAAAAAAGTTTATTAGAACATGCATCTTATAAAGCCTAGTTGCCAGAGCAATTATTAAAAGCATTGATTTGAAGAGGCAGGTGAGCCATATGTTTACAGTGCTGCATCACAACGTTAGGGAGAAATAACAGCTAAACCCAGAATTGTTAAATACTCTTTTAAATCAGTGCATGAGATGGGTCTTGCTATCCAAAATCCACTTATTCTTACATCCCTCACCCTGGCACAACTTTGACTTCAGGGTGATAGGTTATCTGGACCTAGTATCAAGTGCATCCACAGAATCTTTACCCAAAAGGTTCTCATCATGTGTAAAGATAGTGGGGAAATAAGCACTTCTTGCTGAATATATCTTCCACAGTATCTTATGTTAACAAACCAAAGGACAGTTCTGTTCTGATGCTATTCTATTGATGAAAAAAAAAAAATTCAGATCTTTCTCTCTCTTACAATTATCTAGTATTTTATTAGCTACCTGCTCTACAGGTTACTGAGTGGAGATTTCTGCTTATCCAAGAGGTGCACACTTACTGATGAATAGTCACTACTCATCTCTCTTGCCCCAACGTGCGCAGTGTGTACAAAGTTCATTGGTTCTCCTATCATATTCCGGTCCAGTCTCCGACGCCTCTTCTATAAGAAAGAAGATCTTAGGTCTCTATTCAGAAAACATGAGCAGCTTTCAGACAAAAACAAGCAGCTGAATTAAAAAAAAGACAATCAGTACTGACCCCTAATGACTCCTCACGGCAACTGGGCTGAAGTTTCAGACTGCAGTAAGAAAGTCACTTTCATTACTGTATTACTGCTAAATGAATTTTAGCAAAAACTTTCTTTAATGTTGGAAAGTCAGGGCCTGAGAACTTTAAAACAGTCATATGGCCAAAGTTTCTGGCAAAACACACAAGTTTAAACACAGTTTAACAGGTCTGGTTTTAGCTTCTATATTACTTAGCCCAAACTAATCAAAACAACACGGAAATAAAAATGTTTTCCACATAACTGAAAGACAAAATTTCAAATCTGATAAAGGATGGCAGTTGTGCATCTACCTACCGGCTGGGGCTGTTCACCATTACACCAATTAAAACAAACCAGGAATTCAGTCATTATATTTTTCAGTAGATAATAAGGTCTTGTTAAGTGTAATTATTTCTCTGGGAGTCAAAGCAGTTCAAGGACCAAGATGCAGTTCCTAAAGTGCGTTTAGGAAGGAATTGCTTGTGCAGATTCACTGGTAAAAATCACAGAAAGCATCTGATGAGTACACCTGCAAAGAGATTATTATTTAAGTTTATACTAAAATACATCAAAGTCTGGTAACAGTTATTGAGCGATAGACATTGCAGAAGACTAAAACAAGACTGTAAAATTCTTAAACATACCTCGACAGAAGAGTAGCATCAACTTAAAATCAGTATGTTCATGTCAGAAATCAGGGTTAAGAACTCCGCACATTTACGCTCAGACAGCAGTGTAAGTTCTGGTTTCTTCACAGAAGCATAATAAAAGCAATGCTAAAATTAATTCAGGTCTTGTTTAACAGTCTGTGATCTGATTGTAAGCAGAGCCAATGCTTATGAACTATTTAGTATTTTGAAAGAAAATAGCTTTGAAGCATAACAGATTGAATGCTTAACATTTACAAACAGGTGCAAAAGAAAGTTTCCTTCTTACATCTGATATAGTTACTCTTCTTAGACATAGAAAAGCTCAAAGTAGAGAGTATTCTACAATTCCAAAAAGCCCTTAAAAGAGAAAAAAAGAGCTTTGTATATCAGCAACAGAAACCATTCATCAGACAGAGCCTAGAGATTCCCAGAATGTATAAAACTATTAACACAGCACTCCTGAATTGGAGACACAACGAGAAAACTCACTGACTTTAATTGCCCTGAAGCTACATAAAAAACAACTTTTTAGTGGTTACTGACTTTTCTTTTAAATATCTTCCTTCAAATCAAACCCAAGGCTATAGAGTAGCCTTTCATACCAATTTTTTATACCCCAGATCATTAAAACAATATTATAACATGTTACTTTACAAAGCAGGTTTTCTTTTTAAAGCTTACAGCTTAACAGAAGTTACAGCTTCATCAATTCAGCCTTTCTGAACCCCCACTGAAGCCTTCACAACCGAACAGTGTAAGCTTCCCCCTTCACAAACATTTCTTATGTAGTCCCACAATTATGTAATTAGCACACCTATTTCTTTCACCTTTGTGGTTTCCTTACACTTCATCACTTCTCACACTTCAAGCAGATCTTTTAAATTTCTGCCATTTATCTTTCAAAGCGTTTGTTATGTTTGCCTCAGCTTCAGGTGGCCTATAGGATACATTATTGCAGAATGTGTCATGTATTATTCCATTTTATCCTGGGTGGTTTTAATACAATTCATTATCTGTCTCAATTATCATTTTTCACCTCACTTCATCCTCTCACAACGGTCTTTATTACCACTAATGCCTTGTTTGGGTGCAGCAAAGAAGGGACAGTGGCCCACACAACCATAAGAACACGCAGAAGCCAAAGATTTTGCCTATGCTTCACATTAGTTGCAGATTTTTTGGGTTTATTTCATGTTAAGGAGACTGTATCAAAGCTAAGATTTTCTTAAAAATCATAAAGTGTGTCACTGTACACTAATAACCTATTTTGAAAGCAGATTGAGAGGAGCATCAAATTAGATAGAGAAACATCCCCAACCCAAAATAACGGTTGAACGCCCACTCTCCTCCCGCCATACCCCTCAGCATTTGGCCATCTCCCTCCGTGGGGCTCCGTGCGTACCTTGGGTGTTATCTGCTGCTCCCAGGGAGTCCTGACGGGATGGTACGTCCTCATTCAAGCGCTGGCATGCAGCCAGCTCCTGTCTTGGCAACTCCAGCGCATTTACAGTTCATATTCCTGGGTTATAATTAATCCTAATTGCTAAGCAAGAACGCTTCACTGTGATCCCATACCCTGCGACAGTTCCTTCGCTCTGTAAGGTGCTGCAGAAGTCTGCTGTGCACTTCACGCTTACCTACAGGTGTCAGAAAAGCAGAACGGAAACCAAAAATAGCACCCTAGTTTGGCGTCAGATTTGTGCAGCCGAGCAGTTTTCTCAGCACTATCCATACAGCCTGTGGCTCACTTCCACCCCTGCGGCAGCTCTGCAGGTGTCCTCCTGGCACACAGCAGCGCTGGACACCTTCCTGTTGTGTTTTACAACAGAACTCTTCTTTTCCTCTGCATGAGTCAGAGTATCATCCTCCAGGACAGGAATGTTTGTGCCAGGGCATGGGACACCACCTTCCTCCCAGAGACTCAAGGTTTCCACACTAACTGGAAGAATTTAAAAAACATCTTAATTTGTTCAGGCTCGCCCAGGACTAATAAAAACCAGTAAGAATCCCCAAACCGAGGAGAAAACAACATTTTGTCACTGTTGGCACACAATCCAGAATTGGACAATATCCTGTTGTTCTTTCTCTCTATTTTTCACCATAGCAGCAGTATCATCGAGGAGACAGAGACAAAGGGCCAGGGAAATGGCTAGCACGCGCAGACACAGATGTTGAATGCGATGGGCAGGATGCACAGGCATTCAGGAGTCCATAGCCTTAAAGAGCCTGAGAGCTTTATGAATGTTTAGATATACTTTACTGAGCATAACACTCAATTTGTTCTACCATTGCTGTGTCTTAAGAAGTATTCAAAATATTCTTGTATTTTACTTACAAAATATCAATTCTATATGAAGTGGAAAATGTTTGCCTGAATCAAAACAAAAGAATCCTCCCTTTCCATAGACAAGAGAGATGCACGGTAATCTCGATAAATAACATCCACTAAACATACCTATTATTCACAATTGGCCTTTAGATTCAAGGTCTGATCATGACAAATCCTTGACTCTGAGCTGTTAGTGAAGGACAAAGATTGTAAAGTTAGCATATATTATCACACGTCAAACGCAGGTTATCATCACCCTGCCCCAACTGAGTTGTTAAATTGCGGTAACTTCCAAGTTCATTTTCATTCCAGCTCTGTCAGTACTGAACTGATGTGAGAGAAGCGTATTTCAGGCTAACTGCCTTTCTAAAAACCACTGTGCTTCTAATTTGTTCATTATCTTTACTTTGCTCATTTGATATTTACATCATGTTAAAATCCTGAAACAGTTATACATTTACATATTGGAATGGCAAGGTATGGTAAAAACAGTGGAACTCGTATTTCAAAAAGTAGTTTTGAATACAAAACTTGAAGGGTGCATCTTGCTTGGTGAAAGGTGAAGAGTAAAAACCAATAAATTAGCAAGACTTTCGAAGAACCTGGGAGCCAAACAAGGCTCACTGCTGTAGAGTGAGCTTAACTGCTTGGAAATAAGCATCCTGATTTTACTAATATATGTACAGATTACAACTTTAGCTTGAAATGTACTTCTCAAACTACATAATAACACTATTACGTAGTGCGATTGTATATTGGCCTTCTGCCACCCTGAAGCTTCACAGAGAGTTGACAATAGGGTTTTACCTGAGACCTCCATTAATCTAGGTGTGTTGGTATTGTTAATCTGAGGAATTTGTGTGTAGTCTCTGAGGAGACTTGAAGCTTCTCCTTTTAAAAGCTAAGTAGACACATACATTAAAAGAAACAAACAAACAAACACCAAGGCAGCTCCTCTATTTCAAAGTGGAAATGAGCTTAGTCACAAAATGAAAAAAAAGCATTTTTAACTAACTGTCCGTTCCCCTCAAGAAAGAAGAAAAGCCAAGAGACCAAATTATGTGTTCTGTTTGAAAGTTAAAAATAACTGCGAGAGAAATCAACTGAGATTTGCCTGGAGTCTTACCAGAAGAAAATTAGTAAAACTCACAAAAAGATGAGAAGCAAGCTGAATGGTTGGCAACACACCAACCACTGGTATTGTAAACATGTTGAACCGAATTACTAGCTTGTAAATTATGGAATTTAGTGTTACTAACAATAAAATCAGATTAGATCAAAAAAAAAAAAAAAAAAAAGAGGGGGACAAAAAGTTTTTTTT